AGGCTTAAAGGCTCGTCTAGACGACAAGGCGTAAGGCGCAGCGCAAGAGCGCGAGCACAGGCGCAAGAGGATTTTTGCCGATCGTAGGGTCGTGGCGCAGCGGCGCAAGCGAAATAAACTAATTTTATTTCCAACGCCTACGCCTGAGCTCTTGCGCCGTGCCTTACGCCTTGTCGTGTAGACGAGGCTTAGTCCCAGTCTACAATAGAGATTTAAGCCCTAAGCCTTAAGAAATTGACTAATCACAGTCGCGCATTCTACTCATACTTGACCGTGATTGGCCAATTTCTTAAAGCTTAGGGCTTAAATCATCTATTGTAGACTGGGACTAAGAGTTGCCACGGCCGGGTTAGATGATCAGCGAATGCGATACGCTCTCTGTGGACATAAGAAACCGTGGACGTGAACTACGTAGCCAAAGGACCGAGGTAGAATGATAGCCGTTTATCCGTGAAAAACAACGGAGCAGGTACGGCGTATCTTTTTTCATTATTCGTCACAGTTATGTTTATGTTTTTCAAACCCGCGCACCGCTCAGTAATTGTTTACGTCGAGCCGCCGCGCCGCCGGCAACCGCCGGCGCGGTCAGAGGACGTTCGCGCTTCGCATTACCGTGCGAGCCGCCGGCACGTACTCCACGGGACAAGTGCGCGATCGTTTCCCGCGTAATTAAACGACGCCACAACCACGCGATCGAGCCGATCGATTCCGCAGGTGCCGCGGGACGTCGTTTTCGTTCCTCGGAAGAGAGGTATTTCGCTACTCGACGTACATACATCGCGTCGTTGACGTGACCCGCGTAGTAGCGCCGCGCAGTGGCCGCCGGGAACGGCGTCTCCATGTTGGTCCATTCGAGGAGCGCCGTGGGACGCGCAGTGAATCGGTCTCGTGCGATGGTTTCGTCGGCGTTTCACGGTAAGCGCGTTTAGCAATCACGCGACGTAGACTCGACCCCACGCGCGTCGACAATCCTCCGAGACGCGTAGATCTGGGAAATCCCGGGCGAACTCTCACGCTCGGTCGGCGTCGCTACGGCGAGTACACAGAGTTCTTCAATTTTTATGCGTATCTCCCCGCGCGTGCAGTAACATCCGAGTTTGCCACGCGTTCGCGCGACATCGCCCTCTAGAACGCACGCATTCGGTTCCCTTTTTCGCGACGCGCGTCAAGTTAGCCTCGCGCATCTCCGCGGGTCCTTCCCGCCGGAACGTTCCCGTCATTTCGCGCGACGCCTTCTCGCCAGATTCGGCTCGTATTTCCGCGCACGATTGTCTCTCGTTCTCGTTGCAGTGACGTGTCCGGGTCGATTTATAATGCCGGGAGTGCCGTGTCGTGCGTTACTTCGGTTCCTCTTTCGCGAGTGTTGTGTTGTGCCATGGAGGAGTCTGAGAGGAAGGCAGCGGTCTAGGAGGCATCGGGCACCGGCGGAGCAACTTTACGGTAAACATTTTTTATTTCGTATAAAATTTACCTTCCTTTTTAAATAATTTAAAAACTATTTTCTTTAATAGTGGTTTTCTCTGTTTTAATGTGAATTGTATAATTTTATGTTGCAGATTCAACATAGCTACACTCCGCCGCTGCGCATCAAGTCGGTGAGTAAGAAAATTTCTTTATTGAGGCAAGGAATATATTTTTATTATTCCAATTGTTTTAACAACGAGCGTTTACACAACGAAGAGTTAAAACAATTTTTTTGTAAAAGTACATACGTTTATATATTTCCTTATTATGTCAGTGCTCTCGAGTAAACAATGAAATATACATATTTGATCAGTTGTCTGCAGTAAATTTTTTAGAATTGAAATACTTTCTTAATTAACTTCTCTTAGTTGTGTATTTTTCGATACGATCGACGCTCGTATATTATATAATTCTCAAATCGTGCGTAATATCTGTCGGTGACGATAACAAACCGACTATGGAGGGAATTTTCTTCCTTCCTGATCTCTGGTCAAAATGACCAGACTGTATGGCCAGGTGCAACGAAAAAAGACTGAATACAACGAGGTAAGTGGTCAATATTGACCACTTTGATGTTGTATGTGAGTAAAGTGCTGTACGCAACAAGTTAATTTCTTCATATTTGCCAAAATTCGGGTGGGTTATGTTATTATTCTTATCTTATTTACATATTCTCGCATATGTGTCAGATTAAAAAGACCCCTATTAAAATCCTATTAATTCGCGCGCGTATAACCCCAAACCTCTTATAAATCGCCTCGCGGTTTTAACGAAAGACTTGTAGGTTTATTAACAAAAAGTTGAGGCGCGGATAGGTAAGAAAATGGATAGGATTATACAACGGAATACGGAATATTACATGATTGAGACATACATATACATATTACAAGAATTTTTTTATTATTTCCCGGGTTGGCATACAATTTCGGTCGGTAATCCACCTCCCAGGGTAAAAGACGGAGACACGAAACCGTCCAGTGGCTCCCATCAAAACTTGGACATTGAACTAATACATACAGTCATGACTGCGAAAATATCCAACGGGTAATACGCTAGTATCCACAGTTTCCAGTTCAGTTTTCTTCTGGGGTGCTTTCGCGACGTAGAGTAAAATGATCCGGATCAAAATGATCCGTGCTATGATTGGTCAAATCTGAAATTTCGTAGCATCTCATTGAAATTTTATTCAATGAAATTTCAGATTTGACCAATCAT